CCGCTATATTCTGGCTTGAGTGAACGAATAGGTCGATGCATGCATCATGAAGAAAGAATTTTGCTTAAGCTAAACTCTCCCACGTAATTTTTGGGTAGTTAATTGATAGGATAAGAAATAAAAAGGAATGCTTCAACTCTTAATGGAAAGTCTTAGCATTCAACAACTCATCAAGCCTTCTCGTCTCTCTAAGTCTCTTGTTTCTGATCTGGAGGCCTTGTCTCTAATGGTGGGTTTCTATCTGTTTACAGATGAACCTGAGGTCCGGTCGTGGGAGGCCTCGTGCCTGCCTCCGTCCCAGACGCCAGGTGCACGTCACCGGTCTCCGGCCTCCATACTCGGGCACCTAGATCTGTGCTTACCTTCCCTCTCGCCATTCGTTCTCCTGTTGGCGCCCTCTCGGCCACCGCTCATGCTCTCATCACCCGCTCGCCCTTCTGTGTCGCGTGCTACTGCCTTTGCATCCCCACAGCCAAGGGCGACCTCGCGTCGAAGGCATGTCCCGGAGCCAAGAACGTCATGGTTGGAGCAAGGGCTTGGACGGCGGTGTGTCCGTGGAGTAGGAAGAGGTGTGGCGGAGGCGGAGGAAAAGCGCGCCACATATTCGACGTAGAAAACTGTGGCAAGGAGTGTGGCGAGCCTTGCTTCGATTACGAACCAAACAGACGCCTAAGCAACTATGGCGAGCGTAACTTTAGGCATGGCAATAGGTGGCGGGCAACCAAACATGCCCTCAGATAAAGACTACCGGTAATAATTAACAACAGTTGAGCACATTCTCCCTGTGTTAAAAGAATAATATCCGGCAATCATTGGCAATATTTTGGGTGCACAGTCTATCGATGATTCAGCTGTGACAATGCACGCTGAGTTGAAAGTTCCTGGCAGGCAAAGACAAGGAGACAGCCCGGCGTGACGACAATCGACAAGCATGCACGCAGGCGAAAGCGAGCTGAGCTAGCCTGCCTAGCTAGTCGATCTTTTGCACATGCGTCCACGTGCAGGACGTACGGAGTACGCTCTAGTTGACTTTTGGAAACCAGTGTCGGCTGGATCAGAGAATTTTCTTGGAAGCACAAGGTCACGAGGGCCTACTGTACCTGGATCAGTGCATTTGGCACTCCCGTGTACTCCAAAGGTTGCTTGCTTGGCCGTCAAACAAGGAAGATTTTTACTTTCACGTCGACGAGGGTAGTGCTCCTCCAACGACCTTCAGACCTTGACAACTCAGTACTATACAAATACAAGATGTTGACGCTTTGCCATCATCACGTCATCTAGTTGCAGTTGATGCTGATCCTCCGATCCCATTCAGCCCAAATTAGTTATTACCAATAGCCCAAATTAGATATTGACCAAGTTTGATTCTCGTAGAGCACAATGTATAATTATTAGGCGTGATATGAAGTGGGTCAAAATAATAAGGACGGTATAGTTTGGTAAACGTCAAGTGAATTTAAATTTACGCACGTGTCATATGCGTGTGCAGTTAGTAGTAGAAGGATATTAGCACGAGGGAATGTCCTGATGATAGTATATTCGAGGGGCAACAGAACAATCTCTGACAAATCTCTTACAGCCCGATTCAAAGGTTGAGCAACTTATTTATACAGTCAGCACTCCTCTCCACATGCATACTTCCATCATCATATCAAACGTGAAAATAGAAGTCCGCTATGATTGTTTCATCTTAATTGTGATTGTTGATATTTGAACTAACAAAGCGTTTGGTTCGCTAAAATGTAACGTGGCCTGATTACGTAGGGGGAATCGATCAGATGACGATACGGCTGTTTGCTTCGACCTGGCCCGTTAAGAGATGTTGCGTTATCGAATAACGATCCATTCACTCCTGATTGCGCCCATCCTTGAGTCCTATCCCATTACGGCGCAACCAAACATGCAACCAAATAGATTAGTGCAATCAATGATCCAACGCCACTACCGCCACAATGGATTTTCCATATCGTTTGCCTTACCATTCGGTGAACCAAACACTACCTAATATACTATGGGCGTGCTTGGATTCCCTGTTGACCCTCGCCTTGCCTAGCCAGGCAAGGAGTTGAAACAGTGGATGCATTTGGATCCTTTGCCCACTGTCCCGTTGCCTATGAAAGCAAGAATTTTGCTTGCTAGCTTGGGTGAGCCAAATTTTGGCTCTCCTGTCCTGGCAAGGCTAGCCTTGCTCGGTGAGGTGACACAAGCAAGCCAGACAAGGGAACCCAGTTGACCCTATATTGATTAAGTTGAATGCATCGATCGGTTCAACTTAAAAGTTTAAATTAGTAGGCAAGGATATGCAATTCACTTAAACTTCAACTGCTTCTTCGATGGTGGCTCCAACCATGATGAGCAGATCATGATTTGGGGGTTTTAGGAATTATAGGTGGACTCTAGATGTAGATATGGCTAGGGAATGTGGCTTGTTGGACAATCAGAAGGATAAGGCAGCTAGGGGGCCATCCGCCATGGTGGTGGTATATTGGATGGAGTTGGTAGTTGGGGCGTAGTTTGCTGTTCTATCCCTAAGGCCCTGTTTGGTTTCCATAAGTCAGGTGACTGAAAATCAGTGACTTATAAGTCATGCCTGTTTGGTTGTAGATGACTTATAAGCTGTGGGCACCACGCGAAAAAGGGTGGCTTATAAGTTTTAAGCAGGGGTGAACCAGCTTATTTCTTATAAGCAGGGGTGACTTATAAGTTGGTGGTGTTTGACAAAATCAACCACTTATTTTACTTTTTAACTTATAAGTAGGTGACTTATTTAGAACCAAACAGGCCCTAAGCCTAATAACTCTCTTCTCCGGTCCTCCCCCCGGTATTCGTTGTCACCACCTCTTGATCATCACTTCCCATATCATCCAAGGTGCCTAGCCCTATCTTGTTGGAGCAATTGGATGTGGTCTTGTTGTACGCCATCGTGGCGGAGACCATGAAAACATAGTACTAGATTTAGGGCGTATTTGTATCGGTGCCTACAGCAGCCTAACTGAACTTTTATTCGTTGGCTTGGGGCAATAAATGTGTTTGGATTGTGAAATTTTTTTTTGGCTTGGCTCTGACTCCCATACCCAACCGTAAATTCATTTTTTTGTGGCATCTGGCATGAGGCCCTGTTTAGTTGCACCCAAAATGCTAAATTTTTCAAGATTTTCCGTCACATCAAATCTTTGGACGCATGAATGAAGCATTAAATATAAAAAAAATAAAACTAATTACACAGTTTAGACGAAATCCACGAGACGAATCTTTTAAGCCTAATTAGACTATGATTGGACACTAATTGTCAAATAATAACGAAAACGCTACAGTAACGTTTTGCCAAAATTTTTGGCATCCAAACTGGCCCTGAGTTGATTAAATCGGGGGTGGCAAAATCTGGTGCCAAATTTTAGCCATGACGTCCAGTTTCTCTAGGCCGACAAATTAGCAAGTATGGGGGGTGTTTGGTTCTCGGCCCTGTCGTGATACGCCACGCTAACTTATGACACGTCACATTACGTAGAATTGTTGTTTGGTTGATTGATTCACGTATAAACCGTGACAACTACCTACTTTTTTAGTACAAATTCGTGTCATTGTTGTGGCGCTGAATTTTAACGCCGCACCTTAGACGCCATCAACATCCGACGTGGCTGCGAGGCAAACATGCCCTGTGCATGTCACTCATGCATTTGACAATCAGATAACTAGCGCAGTTGAAGTATCCTAATTCCTAAAAATAACTAAAGGGACAACAAAAAATTATGTCAACTGTCAAGGTTCAACAGACAAGCTAACCATCAAACATGTACCCAGATCGGGGAGTGATTTGACAGACACCGGCCCTGACGTGAGTTATAATGATTGCCTCTGATAAAGAAATAATAGTGGAAGGATCCGACGGCCAGACGCCCAAACGTAGTGAAGACTTCTGAGGGAGGGGGATTCCATTCATTTTAGCCCCGTGCACACAGCACTCGTACCTGCAGGCAGCAAATTAAAAGCTTGTTCCGCGGTCAAGACGACCGACGTGACCCAACTAACCAACACTTTGCTATGCTCACTGTCTGTCCCGTCCGCGCGCATGCATCGGTTGCTTGCGACGGTGCTCGCTCTTCTACGCCATCGCCGCCACTTGTCCGGGACGAGCAATTAAAGGAACCTAATCGAAGAGAAAGCACGCTGCACGATGACTATCCATTTCCCAACAGTTTAGGGAGCGAGGTGTGTTCATCCGTGTTCGTTGACACAGTCTATGACTTCTCTCTCTCACACACACACACAAAATTAACCGGCGGATCAATGGTGACAATGGAAGTAGAATATGTTCGCATGTTCGCTTGATTTATAAGTTGTACTTTTTTTAGCTAACGAACAGTATTTTTTCTCACAACAAATTAACCAACAATGCTTTCAGTCGTGGCTTATCAACCAAGCGAACAGGCTAGTTAGCCAAATTGATGCAAAAAGATACAAGCTCTCAAATAATTCACGTACTAGTGAACAACGCACAGTGGTTAGTGGTCACGGAAACAACAATGCATTATGCTCAATTGCTTTACTGCATGGGGGCCATTATAGTACAATATACCCATCTTGTCGCACAAGGCCTTTTCATACTTCATTCACATTAACTGTGTCTTACCAATCAGCGAAACAAGCTTACAACCTAATTAACGGTGGGACACATATGCGAATGCGACGCGTGCAGCATCACCATTCACGGATTCACCTCACCAGCATGTAACAAAGCAGCTAGCGCTTGCAGCAGCTGCTTCAGCATCAAGTGCGGATTAACCAATTATTACTGGCTGGAACAAACAAAAGCACACGCACACGGGGAAAACGAAAACCACCTTAATTACAGTGTCAAGCTAGCCAAGCGTGATTAATCGTCCTAAGCACATTGCTTAATCCGCACCACAGCACCCACCAGAGTCACAAACGCAAGGCGCGCGCAGCCAAGGAGCAGCAGCACCGGAACACGCGCGCGGCGCGAGATCAGCGAACTCAGCTCACCGGAAGTTCGCCGGAGCGCGGGGGCGCGGCGGCGGCGTGCCGGCGAGGCAGTCGCGGGACCGCGTGCACGACCGGTAGAGGCTGAGCACGGCGAGCCAGTCGGTTAGAGTGGCGGCCAGCGCCGGCGGCCGCTGCCTGCGCCGCCGCCGCCTCGCCGCCTCGGCGTCGTCGGGGACGATGAAATAGCCGTCGGCGGCGCCGACCTTGCTTGAGAGGAGGGAGGGCGGGAGCGGCAGCGCCGCCGCCGCCGTCTTGGCCGTCTTGCCGCTGCCGCGCGCGGGGGTCTTGGGGATGCCCGGGCGGTGCTCCCAGGAGAAGGGCACCGCGGAGGCGCGCAGCGGGGAGAGGAAGAAGCGGTGGTGGAACGGCGAGGGCGCCGGCGAGAAGGACGGGAACGAGAAGGAGAGGCCGGAGGAGGCGGAGGACGAGGACGACGACGAGGAGGAGGAGGCGGACGTTGTGGGGACCGCGGATGAGGAGGAGGAGGAGGGCGGGAGGAGCTGATGCCTCCGCTGCCGCAGCCGCCGGCGAGTTGCGGCGGTGGCCGGCGCCGCCGGTGGCGGGGATGCGGAGGGGTTGGGCATTGCTGTGCGCCTCTGCCGTGTTTCTTGGTGTGGGCGTCAGAGTAGACAGAGTGGTGGAGCTGGAGGCGCAGCGCAGGAGCAGAGGGGAGAGGTGCGTCGGGCTTTTATGGTTGGGTCACGGCGCGGTGACGTGATCCGGATGTGCAGCTTCGGTTTGATCTTGGTAATTTTCTGTATCCGAGACATCGGATCAAGGCGGTAACAGTAATGCACCTACACTGTTAGGCTTAGCTTAGGTAGGATAGTAGCACTGGAACTAGTGAAGAGTAGGTCAAGTTTATGCGATTCGAGATCGAGTTACCATGCAGTAAATCAAGCAGCCGTATCGCGCAAATGAGGCATGTTATTCATCATCTGGTTCCATGTAGTCGCGGGGCCCCTAAAATAAACGCACATCTTGGTTCTCGATGGGTCAGAAATATAGAAAATAGTATCAAGATTCGTATCTCAGATTATTGTGAAAGTATATTTCATGCTCAATTTAATAATATTTATTATACATCATACATATATTAGTATATTTTTGTATATAGACATCCGTCCCGTGACTTTCATCCGGAAGCACGCCTGAAAAAAAAATCTCCATCTTCTCGTTCTATTCCTCGCAGCGCCTCCATCCCTGTCCCCGCTCGAATGCCACGCCCCACTCCGCGCTCGTTGCTGCTGCATTCACCCGTCGCTCGCTCAAGCCCTATCCCGCTCGCGACGCTTTGGATCCCCCATCCCGTGCTGCACGCCATCTTGCACTGCGCCGCGCCCCTATCTCCACCCCCACCCCCACCCACACCCACACAGGCATGACGCGTCTGTCCCCACGTTGTCGCTGCCCGCCCGGTTGGCTCCGATGGGTTCGTGCTATCGGTAGTGGCGAGGGTGCTGCAGCAGCGCATGAGTGAGGGAGGCCTAGGAGATGGCGCTCCCCGTGGGGCCCCTCAAGATGGTGGCCCTCCTCAGCCTCCTGCTCGGTTGGGCCTCCTCGGCCTCCTTCTCCGCCGTTGTCACTCCAATCCCCACCAAGTAGGCCATGCCCGCACGGCGAACAATGTGTTTCAAGTGTTTCAGACGTTTCAAAGTTATATTTCAAGTGTTTTATCTGGATGTTGCAAAAGTAGATCTGGGATGTTGCATGTGTTGCAATGATAATATACGCATATTGCAAGCCTATGTTTCAAGTGTTTCATGTTTTCTAGACGTATGTTGCAAAAGTAGATCTTGGTGTTGCACATGTTGCAATGGCTATGCACGCATGCTTCAAGCGTATGTTAAGTGTTTTATCTCCTTTCAGACCGTATGATGCAAATGTTTTATCTTAGTGTTTTAAAAGTAGACTGGTGTTGCACGTGTTTTTTTTACTCTAGTGTTGCACATTATCGCAATGGCGCCGGTGGCTGGCGTTACAGCGGCCTTCCTCGCACGACGTGCCTCGACTTCCTCTCCGTCCCCTCCCTCCCCTCCCCTCCATCTTCTTGCCGTGATAGTTCGAGCTCGGCGAGGAAACCATACCCGACTAGCACGTAGGTGCCTGCGGAGGTAGTGGCCTCGGGTGGGCCTGACGATGGCACGGTGCCCACATGGTGGCCCTGTAGCAAGTTGAGATCAGAAAGCGAGATGTGTTTTTTTAGACGAGTGAGCACTGCATTTTTTTTAGAACAAAAGTCCTTCAAACTCTGAATTAGAATCCCTTACCATATCAGTAGTACACAGTACAATGGAAGAACATATATCATTGGTCGCTTTCCTAACAACCTTGCTGTAGTAACCAAGCTATACAGTGTCTACGTAGTTAGGCAAGGATGTTACGACGACGGAACGAATGAGAGGGCATTGTTCACGTTCTTAACTAGAACTCCTTCTCTGCGCAGGCCGAAACAGTGCGGCCGAGTGAGACACACACGCTGAGGAGGGCCTTTCTCGCCAATTCTGAGCAGGTCCTGAGTCCTGACACGCTAAACAGGACAAATTACTAGCAACGTTTCGACCATCCAAACGACCTCTAAATCATGATGTGTTTGGATCAAATCGGGGGCGACGTTAGGAAGACCAGATACCGTGTAGACGAACTAGAACTGTAGAAGGTGAAGCAGACGCACCAATGGCTCGGGCTGTTACCCATCTCTCTCGCTCTACACCAAAACCTGCAACAAAGCAATGTCAAAATCGACAGCAGCGCCGCCGCACTACCGCTACTAGCCACCAACAGTGTACTCAAGTGGTAGTAGCCAGCGCGAGCGCGCACCGCGCAGTAGGTGCCACGTCGTCGACTCGCCGCCCATTCCTCGGCAGGGGAACCCTGTATGCCCTGACGCCTCTCCTCACCGGAAGGGAGCCCATCGCTGGAAGCTGGATGCATATGCGTGGCGTGCGCCGAGACGTTTTTGTGCCATCATTCTCCGCCGGCCCTTTGGTTTCCTTTGCGGTCGGCGACAGGCGCCCCGATCATCATCGGCCGCGGCGGATCGGCTTTGCCGCGCGTGCGTGCCCATCCGGCGGTTGGTTTGGTTGGCTGCTTCGGCCTCGGCCGGCTCCGCGCGCGGATCCGTCGTCGTCGTCGTCTAGCTAGCTTCGTGAGGACAAAGTAGTCGCGTCGGCCCGACCCCTGTCCCGGCGGCATGATGATGACGATGATGATGATTACCCAACCCGGAGGGCTGGACGGCGACGGGAGGCGCGAACACCGGCCCCGCGGCGCGCGCACTATTTAATCTGTTGTGTCCGAGTGTGGGCAACTGTCAGCACGCACGTCGTTCCGTTCCGCCGTTTTTATCAAGCTTCGGCGGTGACACTTTGCTGAATTCTAGGCAGATTAGTGTTCATTCGTTAAAGAAACAGACGCTGTTTAATTTCCCCATCACTCAGACGGAGTAGTATCTTTGTTGGGTTACATGCATGCATGTAGGACAGTAGGAGTAGTATATATGTGTAGAAGTTTAGATTGTAAGCAGACGCACCAATGGTGTTTCGTTTGTATTTGACAAACTTTGTCGATCTCTGGACTAAAAGGCCAAAAGATGCGTGATTTACAACCAAACTATGTAATTAGTTATTTTTTTTACCTACATTTAATGCTCCATGCATGCGTCCAAAAATTGATGTGATGGAGAGAGAGTGAAAAAACTTAGAATTTGGAGGTGATCTAAACAAGGCCTAGTATAATATAATAATACACTGACATGCATGGCTTGATGCACGGGGAGAGCATCGGCAGGGCGAGGAAACAGCGCTTGTCGCGTCCGAAAAGAACAAGCCTATTTCGCGTTTCAACGCTTTTGCATTGCATGCAATTGCAGCAGCCTCACAATTAATTAATATAGCAGACGCAAACCCAGAAAGGATTTTTCAGAGAAGCAGGACTACGACAGAAATCGGCCATGTCCACTCAATATGGTGTATGGTAGAGCTTGCCGTTGACCCGTTGGTACACTCAGTGGCGAATCTAGAAAAAACTGTGATGGGGTCGGCGCAAACTCATGATAAAAATTTATAGTAATCTAACAACATGATACATGCAAAATATAGGCATAATTGTGAAGCCAGACTGCAAAAATCAAGGATTCATGTATAGGAGCGAAATTAATAATATTATAATAAGATAAGAATAAACTTTTTATAATAGTGGTTACCTCTTATAATTTCCGGCTCACGCGCGCGATCATCCAATTCTAGAAACGAACTATGACATCGTCATTTGGGATTCTAGCTAGAGATTCTTGTTGACGAAGCAAAGCGACACAATCATTCATAAATTCATCCCCAACACGGCGGTCTTCACAATTTTCATGATTGAAAAACATCTTTCCCCGATGCTATGGCGATAGGGAAGAACTAGCACAAGTTTGAGGAGTCGATATACCAAAGGAAAAGCAATATGTTTTTATGTATCCACCATGAATCTACCAAGTTCGAAATAGTATCCAATTGGACAAATCTTGCATCGGCTCCGCATTATCAATGTAAATATGAAGCTCAAGACTAAGATCGGCGGCTCATTTGAATCAATTCACTAGGATATGCATTTGCCAACTCCATCGAACTCTCAAATTTGAAAGCATCAAAAGAATTCTTGGGATTGAAAAGACAACATAGGTAAATTTTAATTTACCTCATTAAAACGATCATTAAATTTTGTAAACTAAAATCAATAATTGGGTTCAAGCAATCATATTTGTAGTGATCATCAGGGGATTTTTTCCTTTCAAGAATCCTTCCATTGTGCTTTGATTGGCTATCAAATTAGTGAACATAATTAAACACTAAAGTAGATATTGAATAACAGCAAGCAGATGCAGCCATGCGATAGCATCGGCACGACATGTTGATATTGCTCCAATCGCTTGTAACGTCACGCCGATGCGCCCAACAAGAACAATATCTATCTCGCAGTCAGCGTCGCGTTTCAACGCTTTTTGCAGGAGGGGGGCGATCGCAAAGGAAGAAACCTCAGAAGTTGAATCGAGAAAAGAGCGAAGACCCAAACCCAGCATGATTTTTTTGGGCTTGTTAGCTTCTTCGCTTCTATTGTTTATTGGCCACGATGTCCATCCATGTATTCATATTGGGCTTTTGCGTTTATGCGGCTCTTGGCCTTTGCACTTTGGGGCTGCATGTAGTTGTTGGTCAATATTTAGCTTGGGGTCCAACATGATGAGAATGATCGCTGGTTCCGGGGTCGGTGGACCCTGACGCTTTTGGTACACTCCCTCCTGTCACAGATATATACTGCTTTTAATTAACAAAAATCCAATTAGGTAACTGAAACTTTGACCACTTATTGCTCTCAAAATATTTAGCTTGGAGGCATCAGAATGAAATGCATATATTATTTGTCTCAAAATAACGCTTTCTAATCACATAATGCTTAATGAACATTATAAGTACTTCCTCCGTCCCAACTATAAGATGTTTTGACATTTTTAAATTCATAATTTTTACTAGACATAATATATATCTAGACACGTGGCAAAATTTATAAGTGTAGAAAAGCTAAATCTCAGTCCCTCGCG